GCCGAGCAGTACCGTGCACCGTAAGTCATCATCTTGTGGGCTGGCCCGCCCCTGGCGGCGCGGCCCATGTAGTCTGTCGTGGGTATCCGGTGTCGTACCCCCACAGCTAGTCCCCGAACGCCTTGTATCCGCTGTGCAACACCGTCTTGAGCTTATCTGAGCAGGTGTAAACAAAGCCAAACGATCAGACTCATAGTCCGACCACCCTAATGAGTCACCGAGCAGTTGTAGATGTAACCGACCAGCTTAATTATCCGGCCGAGCCCAGGCTTACCCAAGCAAGGCTTGCCAGAAGGATGTAAGGAGCTCAAGTTCAAAATCGAAAATTTTCTCGCTGTGAACCAAGTGTGCCCACTTAGAGTTCGACCACGAGAATGAGAGATAATCTTTTTCAACTTCGAAAGGCACGGAGTCTTCCAATGAACAGATTAAAGAAAAGCACTCACCGGAAGGTGAAGTGTGCCCACTTAGTCTCCGAGCCTGACAGTAGGTGACGTAGTCATGTGGTGCCAGGGTCCAGAAAGTAGAAGAAAAACAGAAAACCAGTCGAACGGGTAACCAATCCACGGGTTGAACCCTAAAATGAAAAGCGCACATTCACCGCAAGGTGAAGTGTGCCCACTTAGTCCCCGAGCTTGACAGTAGGTGACGTGGTCATGTGGTGCCAGGGTAAGAAACATCACTAACCAGGAAAAAAAAGTCCCCAGTATGGTGAGAAACCAAATCATAATGATGATGTAGTCCCCGAGCCTGCTGAAAGATTTTGAAGATATCTTGTAGCAGGGTCAAAGAATTTTTAATGAAAGCATGCCAACGTCATCTGCCATGTACTTCACAAGACCCCGGATGTGCTGCCCAAGATCAACACCCTAATTCGAACAGCATCGAGCAACTTGATAGCACATCGATGATACGTAGCAAGATCCAACCACCAAGGGAGTCCCCAGCTTAGCTGGCGACGCTTGCACAAAGAATCAGAACACCGAGGAGTCCCAGCGTAGCTGACGATGAAGCCCATGGGATGAGTAGTCCAACCAACTGGTCGGCGGTGAAGTGGACGCCGAGCAGGAGTGAGTGCCGAGCAGTTCGACCAGTTGGTTGGCGGTGAAGTCCGTCCGATAGGTGGTCCGACCACCCAGACGATGATCATCATGACCAGTCCCTAAGCGTAAGCTCGTTGACCAAACAGTGCCCTGCGAAACAAATGTGTAGAATGGGCAGTACATGATGTAAAAATAAAATATATGAAGTCCGAAGAAAAATCAGCAGTGATGAAATAGCATATGCAGCTCGACAATCATTTGGTGTAAACACTTAGTGTTATTCTAAAGATGTGTTTATATTTAATATGAATCGTCTGACCAGTTAGTGTGTAGCTGAGTCTCTAGCCCTAGCAAGCCCATTAACTATAACGCGGAGCGCGGAGCCCGTGTGCATGTAGGAGCAGGGCGTCGTTAAGGAGCCATTGTCGACCACCCCTAACGTAGAGGGTGGGCGCTCGTGCATGTGTAGGGAGAAGCCAAAGACAGGGTCGTCTCTGGGAACTTCCGAGCATCAACATGACTGTTCGGGGATTTACCTTAGGCTTAGTTGTATGTCATCTTTAAGATGATATACATGAAAGAAAATCGTTTGGAGAACAAACATAGAGAAAATAACTCGGAGAAACATCATGAAGATATATGAAGGTTGGGTAATATTTAGAAAAATATTAAAGCATGACTTAGCTTTAGACAGAACGTCTAGTCAGTGGCGTATGGCGTTATCTGGTCGGCGTTGATGAAATTGCGCGGCCCTTGAGCTTTCTAGCCTGTTGTCGTGGCGGCGGTCGCGGTGATGGAGTCCTTGGACAAAGGCGGTGATGACTTCTGCTCCTGTGATGTTGGGAATAGAATTCCTCATCTCGAAAAAACGTCTGATGTAGCTACGGAAAAGCTCGGACGGTTTTTGATAAACACGATTCAAATCGTGCTTGGTGCTCGACCGAGTACATGTATCCATGTAATTGTCGGTGAAGACCTTCTTCAACTGTTCCCAAGATTCGATGGAATCTGGGGCGAGGCTCGTGAGCCAGTTCATTACGGTCGGCGTGAGCATGACGGGAAGATAGTTCGCCGTGACACTGGTATCTCCCTCGGTGGCACGCACAGCGATGGCATAAGCTTGTAGCCACTGTGTGGAATTCATCCGCCCCTCGTAGGCCTCGACCCCGGTGATTTTGAAACCACAGGGCCACTTGAGTGTTTAGAGTGCTCTCGTGAATGCTCAGGGCCCTTCGGGATCGTCACCATTGGGATCGGAGAATTGCCGACGTTAAGTAGCTGGAGGGCTGCATCCGGATTACCAAATTCTTGCTCGTATTCTTGACGCCGGCATACTTCCTCCTCATGCCGAGAGAAACGGCGCCCATCGATATGACGTCGTGCATCTTAGAGGTTGTTGATGTGTTCTCGGACATCTTGATCGACTTCTTGATCGTGTTGGCGAGGGTTGTTGATATGGTTCCCCCTAGCTCCCCCTAGTGGGGTTATCTATCATCACGATGTTGGTTGGCGAAACGGCTTCTGTTGGGGCGGTGATTGGATCTTGGAGTGGTTGATCAGCGATTCGAGCTTGTCGAGTAGGAAGGTCCCTGATCCTGGCGGATCTCATTGACCTGGTAGTGCGAAGCTTTAAGCATTGCGGCGACCTCTGGCGTTTATTCGAGCCGAGCGAGCTCGTTGGCGGCAACGGCCAAGTTAGCACTTGGGGTCTTGTAGACACCGTGGTCGTCGACACAGATGAATTCGTCGTCGAGGTTGCGGCGCATTGGGCGTGGCCTCCCTTGCGAGTCGAGTTGTTCTCCATTGCGAACAACCTCGGCTAACACAATGGCGGCCTCATTCGCTCAGTGCTGCACACGATTGGCGTTTCTGTTGAGGCGCTGTTGGCGCTCCTCATCGTTTTCCCCATCATGGGATGGCTCGTTGGCACTGACATGAAAAATCCTTCCCTCAAACCCTGGCGGGAAAGGAGGAAAATCGGAGGGAGTCTCGGAGATCGTTTTTGTGGAGCCTTGGGATTTGGGGCTCGGGGTCTCTTCCAAGATGGTGTGGAGAGATTCATCATCAAATTGGTGAATTGCCACCATGTTGATCATAGGCGCGGCCTGGTTGGTGGTGAGGTCGATGAATGGATGAACATCGCCGAGCTGATCGGTGGTTGGATGAATTCCACCGATCTAGTCAGTGAATTTGCCCCTGAGGGCGTCTTGGTAGGAGACGGCGATGCTAGTGAGCCCAAAGGGTAGGGCCGTTAAGGCGTCATATCTTTGGCTATGTTGATCGGGCCCAGGCAGATTGGATCTGCGAGGTAGTTGACGCTGAGCGGCTGGTCGGCGATGGATCGTGCGCGCTTCCTGCGTCACGGTGATGACGAGGGGCTCCTCGGACCGCTACGACAGCGGGAGTGTATGGAGTGGTCGGAGCATGTCGTTCGGCGATGTGGACGTGGCGAAAACTCCTCGTCGTCTGCAGGTCAGACAAGGGCCGATTCGGCAATGGACAAGCAGTTGGAAAGCTTCTGGTTTACCTGATCGATAGATGCGACCAAGTCGTCGTTGTCGATTTGCTTCCTCGGGTAGCGAGGGAGCGACCGACGAGTTGCTGATGAAGACGACCTTGGAGGTGGTTCCGAGATCGGATCTGCTGGCGCAGGCGCAGGCGTAATCGACGCAGTAGAGTTCTGCACCGGCTTGATGATCTCCCCATCACCGTTGTCGTTGATGAACTAGGAGATTGACCCAACCGTGAAGATTTGGTTGGGCTTCGGGGAGAGCGGAGAGCTCGGAAATCGTACCATCTTGTTCGCCATGAAACAGCACGCACACCCCTACTTGGCGCGCCAACTGTCGACTAAATATGCTCGGCAGTCCACCGAGGGGGATCCCCACGATGGTAGATTGATCGGAGGGATGCGCGAGATCAAGAACAAGAAAGCAACAGAGACGCAAGAGTTAGACAGGTTCGGACTGTCAGCACAACGTAATACCTTATTCCTGTGATATGTGGATTTGTATTGGTTATCGTATGATATTGCGTGTGTTTTGAGGGGGTCCCCTACCCGCCTTATATAGCCGGGGGTAGGATTACAAGTCGGTTAGATCTAGGAGATAACCGGTAAGTAATAACAGATTACAGGAATCACGGGATCGAGCATATCCTAACAGATCTCGTAGCATCTTCAGGATATCGCCCTTGATGTCTTACGGTACACGCCGAGCAGTACCGTGCACTGTAAGTCTTCGTCTTGTGAGCTGGACCGCCCCTGGTGGCGCGACCCATACAGTCTGCCGTGGGTATCCGGGGTCGTACCCCCACACTCATCAATCTAGAATCTAGAAAAGAAACGAAAAGTGCCCAAAATTATTATGCAAACAATCATCAATCAGTTTACTATTAAATTTCGCTCTAGTTCAACTGTTCAAGTATCGTATCCGTGAATCTACAATGCTTAGGACGTGTTTAGTTGGCGGAAATTTTTGGTTTTGGCTACTGTAGCACTTTCATTTGTATTTGACAATTAGTGTCTAATTATGGACTAATTAGGTTCGAAAGTTTCGTCTCGCAATTTCTCACCCAACTGTGCAATTAGTTTTTTTCTATATTTAGTACTCTATGCATATGCCGTAAGATTCGATGTGACACTTTAAGGTGAAAATTTTTGGAACTAGACATGGCCTTATATTGTGGTAAGCTCCATACATCACGTAAGGCAAACAGCGTGGCTGCGTGGGAAAGCAATAATGCCAAAGTACGTAGACTGAGCTGAAAGCTTTGCATGGTTGCATGCAGGAAGCATGAGGCCTTCCTACCCGCCTCCATGTTTTGCTAGATCTGATTTTACCCTATTCCTCACTAATCAAAATCCAATCCCCGAGCAAAAGCATTCGAAACCTCGCAATCAATCTGGTCTAATAGCTGGACGGCACGAAAAAACGGGATTTGCTGCGCGCGCCCGGATCAAGCGCGATCGATCGAGAGCATACCGTAGGCCCGAGAGAAGTAGTTCAGGAATCCATAGCGGAGAGATCTGCTTGTGGCGTTGTCGCGGCAGACACGCACGGACGTGACAGTGCCGATCTTGCTGAAGGCGTCGAACAGGTGCTCCTCCGCCACGTCCTCGTGCAGATCGCCGACGTACAGCGCGGGCACCGCAGCAGCGGCCGGCTGCGCCTCCTCGTTTGCCGCCGCCGCCGCCGCAGAGGGCGCGGGCGCCGATTCCTCCTGGCTATCAGCGGTCGCCGCCGAGGCGTGCGCGGACGCAGGCGCTTCCATCTCCGATGCCGGCATAATCAAAGCTCTCAGCACAGACCTCAGCCCGTTCGTTTGGCTGGTTCGTTTCGTTGCTGGTTTGTAAAAAAGTACCGCTGACTTGGTTTGTGTGAGAGAAAAAATACTGTTTCACTAAAAATTTACGATCGTTTACTATAAGACACGTCCAAACAAACAGGCCAGGGGCGCGCTACGGCAAGATGGGGAAGCGAAACCGGCGAGAGTCTGTCAGGGTTTCGGCGACGCGACGGTTTCTGCGAGGACGAGGGCCAAGAGACACCACAGGTGGGCCGCCGCCTCCTTTTAATCTGCGGGGAGCGCGTCGGATACGGGAAACCGTCCGCGCCTGGCTGGCCGCCCGCTCGTCTCGGTGTCCCGAACGCCTCACGGCTCACGCTCTTCTCCTTCCCTGCGCGTTGGGCCCATATTGTCGGTCTCAGGAGTGGGCCCCTGTTCAGTTTGGCCACGCCCCACCAGCCAGGGTCCCGGCGCTGCCCTCTGGCGATGAGGAATATTACGGCTCTGCCCTGAGCACCGCCCACGCGCAGCCAGGGGCAGAAGCGTCCGCGTCACCGTATTTGACCCTTCCTCCCCCGTCCCGTGTCGGCGACTCCTCTTCTCTGCCCCGTCCTCCCCCTTTCCCCTCCGCGTCCAGCCCGGCGCCACCCACCCAGCTGCGGATCCGGAGGCGCAGATCCGATCCGGCGATGGCGTCCACGGCGGCGAGGCGGCTGCGGGAGCTGCAAGCGCAGACGGGGAACAAGACCTGCGTGGACTGCGCGCAGCGGAACCCGCAGTGGGCGAGCGTCTCCTACGGGGTGTTCATGTGCCTCGAGTGCTCGGGCAAGCACCGGGGCCTCGGCGTGCACATCAGCTTCGTGCGCTCGGTCACCATGGACTCCTGGACCGAGGCGCAGCTCCGCAAGATGGAGGCCGGCGGCAACGACCGCCTCAACGCCTTCCTCACAGCGCGCGGCGTCCCCAAGGAGACGCCCCACGTCGCCAAGTACAACTCCAACGCCGCCGCCGCCTACCGCGACCGCATCGCCGCGCTCGCTGAGGGCAAGCCGTGGACCGACCCGCCCGTAGTCAAGGAGACGCCCGGATCTGGCGCGCCCGCCCCTGCTAGAAAGCCGCCCGTGCACACCTCCGACGCCTCCGGAGGCGGCGGCGGCGGAGGCGGGTGGGACGACTGGGACGACGATTTTCGGCCGGACATGAGGCGGAATCAGTCGGTTGGATCATTCGCCGCCGCGGGGGCGCAGTCAGGGAAGCAGCCGCCGAGGTCCAAATCAACGCAGGACATGTACACGAGGCAGCAGCTGGAGGCGTCGGCGGCTAATAAGGAGGACTTCTTCGCCAGGAGGATGGCGGAGAACGAGTCCAAGCCTGAGGGGATCCCGCCATCCCAGGGCGGCAAGTACGTTGGGTTCGGATCCAGCCCAGCGCCGTCGGCTAACAGGAATGGCGGTGCTGCCCAGGGCGATGTCTTGCAGGTCGTCTCTCAGGTAAAAGGATCATCTTTGCGCTATCGCTACTTGTAATGAACAAGTCTACTTCACACGCCATTCATCACAAGATGCATATTTTCCATTGATTGGATAACAATATATCATCAATTTTGTAGAAAAAAAACAATTACTATGGAGTATATGTTTCCCTACAATGATAGGGCTCTGAATTTTATTCCTCACTACTATTCGGCAGTAAAAATGGAGGATTTTACAACTTGCAACTGTTGTTACATTGCATACAAATCAATTGCTCTATCTGGGGTTGCTGACCATAAGGAATTTGTTAGTATTGTGTTGTAATCAAGTTTTAGAAGCCTATTGAACACCTCAACATAGTGATGACTGATGATGCTTTGTTCATTCCATTTACTGGGTAGTACAGGAACATACTGAGCTCCCCTGCAACATATTTACAGAAGGCCAGCACCACTTGTTTGAATTGTTTAAGCAAAATAGGTTTAGTTATGCATGTTGGCATGTGTTTGAGCTCAGCCAGTATGTTGTAGTTGAATAGCAGTTGATGCATTATTGCCCTCAGCTTACTTTGGTCATGTGAATATTGAGTTAGCTGTGGTGACTTCAGCATTATACCTTGTTTTGTAATTGTTTATTGGTCTGATATAGTTGCTTACGATAACACTTAACACCTTTTTCAGGGATTTGGACGCCTTTCATTAGTTGCAGCATCTGCTGCCCAGTCTGCTGCCAGTGTTGTCCAAGTCGGCACAAAAGAAATCCAATCAAAGGTGACTAATACTTGATTATCTATTCTGCTGCGCAACAATTGATTCCCGGGTCTAGTTATGCGTTGGCTGTGGAGTTTGAACCCCTCTTTGGTGTTCACTGAGCTCATATAGCTTTGCTTGAATCTTATTGCAACAACACTACACTTTGGGACGAAGTCATGTGCAGGAATGTTTTTATGTTACATTTTAGGGATGCTGCATTTTATTTGTATGCAATATTCTTCTATCTATCAACACTAAATATCCATTCTTCATTTTGTAGCATGAATTTCATTGGACAAACCTTATCACACATCATTGCTTCTTGATCAACAATCTTAGTTGGTGTTAGACTACATCAAAGCGTGTTTTTGTTGAACTTTTTTGTAATCCACATGTTTTACATCACTGTTTTTTCTGTCTGATGATTGTGCTTGTCTGGAATGCAGATGAGGGATGGGGGCTATGACCAGAAGGTGAACGAAACTGTCAGTGTTGTTGCCAATAAAACTGCAGAGATTGGGAGCAGGACCTGGGGGATCATGAGAGGAGTTATGGCGTTGGCCTCACAAAAGGTTGAGGAATATGCCAAGGAGGGAGGAATGAGCGGCTGGGGAGAGGATTGGCAACGCAGCGAGCAGAACAGTGATCCTTACCAAAGGTTTGAGCACGAGACCAATGGCAATAGTTGGAATTCCTCCCAAAATTCTTCATCAAAGAACAACAATTCCAGTTCTTGGGACGATTGGGACGACCAAGGCAAGAAGGATGAGCCTGCGAAACCGCACCAGAGCAGTGACTCCTGGGCTGGCTGGGATGATGGGAAGGATGATGGTTTTGATAGTCCTAGTTACAACAATCACAGCACCTCCAACAAGGGGAGCAACCAGAACGGGACATCCGGTGGCACATTTTGGACGGAAGGTGGCTTCCGCTGAAACCGGTCTCTTTTCCATAGAGCTATACTTTCAGAGTTGTTACATGCCAGGAAACGTGAGGGTCCAGTGGTTGGTATTATTCGGGATACTGAAACCGTCGGGTGAAAGGGTTTGTGTTTTGTACCATGTCTACAACTGTTATTATATCTAGTGAGATATATTTCTGTGGTCATTGCCCATTCAAAACTGCCCAAATGACAAAGAAATGTCGATTTGAAACTGTAATTTACACAACTTTGTAGCATATTCCTTATTGATTTTTGTTGGTTTTGTACCCGGCATGAGCCTTGCCGAAATTTGGAGTGATGGGTATTGTGGGGACTGGTGGCAAGCTTGTACCACAGTAGTGCCCAGTGAACTGGATATACAATTCTCTGATCGTGTCTTTACTTGGAGGCAGTATGGTGTCCACTCACCAACTGATAAGGCACTGAATTAGGGTGCTTTCTCTCGTATTGGCTACTTTCCTAGCCTTTGATGAGACACGACCCCTGATTGTTGGTCTTTTGGTGGTTGATTCCAGGTAGGAGCTGACAGTGTGCCTCCACTTTTGGAATCCACTGACCACTGGTGCTGTTGTGGAACTGAGGTCGTTGGGAGGAAGAAGCCCGGATGATACCAACCTCAACCTCGACGTTCCTAACAGAATCGATGACAGCTGTATCTTGCAGCTGATTCCTATTACTGTATATTATTATAATTGCCCATTTCAGCTATCTTATCCTGTAACTGCTGTGTTAGACCTGAGGCCTATCTAATATAACTATGTAGGCATAATCTAATATAGCTATGCCTACATAGTTATATTAGATTATATATCGTCACATCACCTCTGAGGCCTTCTCTGGAGGGAAATGCTTTGAGTCATGAATCCGGTTCGTGTACATCCTCCCCTTCTAGTTCCTTTTTTTTTCAACGTACTACACTTCAGCGTACAACAACACTGAAGAGTATAGGAGACAAGAGAGGTCTCATCTGCACCTGAATGCGAAAGCATTGTTACAGATATAACAATTGTCATGTTCGCTTGGCTGATAAGTCATGGTTGAAAGTACTGTTGTGTCGGATACTAGAAAATGGGGTACCCCAAGCAAAGATCAAAAAACTGCTTAGACCCTAAGAACAGAACCAACGGAATAAACAAACGAGGTCTCGGCCGAAATCTCCGATTCGCCCGAGACCCAGTCGCCGAGCCCCAGCGGAAGCGAACGATTCTCCGACTCGCCCGAGACCGCCTCGCCGAGGCCCCCTCGCCCGGGGCCTCGGAAGAAGTGTCGATCCTCCGATTCGCGCGAGGCCGGCTCGGCACCAGCCCCGTGACCGCCTATTCGACCAAACTGCTCTGACCGAACGTCGCATCCAAGCGCCCAACCACTCCGACAGACGCATTTATCGATGGCACAATCTGGTAAGTGACCGACTACACGCCATCGCGTCAACCTCCACGCCATCTGCGATGGCACGGCGAGGTTACCGACCATCGTGGCTTTGCCTAACTCCCCGCACCAAGGACATCGCATAGCGTGGGGAGTCGAACGGGTTCTGTAGCATCGGAATCAGCGGACCGACCGCTCCGGCTCGCCCGAGCCCCCTCGACAGGGCCTCGGATTCACTGATCTTACTCCGCCTCGCCCGTCCGCCTCGCCCGAGACCCCCCTGGTAGGGCCTCAAACGAATTGGCCGCGCTCCGCCTCACCCAAGGCCGGGCTCGTCCCGCAACCTCGTCGCCTCCGCCTCAAAGGTCTCTCTGGCGGTAGTCGCATCAGATCCGACACGCGCGCCACCAGCACCCGCTTCACGTAAGCCACGATCGGTCTCGTATCCTGTAGGCGCACGTCTCGCACTATTCCTTACGTAAGCCACGATCGGTCTCGTATCCTGTAGGCACACGTCTCGGGACAACGGTCAGATCACCTTTTTTACCATCCCTTACTGACAATACAGGTACCGTATCCTCGTAGGCGCACGCGTCTCGCACTATTCCGCTTTGATGGCGGCACCGAGACCCGCATCTCACACTGGTCACTTCTCGGGCCTCGGCTGTGAGAACCTCGGCAGACGACCGGCTATGATGGCCGCCGAGCCTCTGCAATCCACCAAGTCAACAAATGTGCGACATGTTACTTGCGAAGGAGACCATACCGATTAGACATCTACGGAAACTCCCACGACAACGCCATGCTTGCTCCGTGAGTAAATACGTCATCGAATAGTCCGCTCCACGTGTAGCTCTCTTATGTACTCTGGTTTCCTCCTGCGGCTATAAAAGGAGGCGGCGGGACCGCTTCTAGGGCGGCGGATAGAGTCACGAACACTCATTCAACACGCCTCATTCTCGTTTCATATCACCTCCCTCACGAGAGACCGGGACGAACTCCCTCTCGCGCCTAGCTTGTAACCCCCTACTACGAGCACCCCAAAGGCAAGGAATACAATAACATCTTCTTAGATCGGGCGTAGGGCATCCATTGCCCGAACCAAGATAAACCTTGTGTCTCTTTGCATCACCATCCGGAATTGAGAGCACGCAGACAAATTCACTAGTCGGTTAAGGACCCCGGTTCAAACGCCGGCGATTAAGCGCATGCACAGTAGGGGCCTCTGCGTGTCGCCTTATCATCCCACCAGATTCCGGATGGCAAATCCCGTGCGATCGTTATGCGTCTCGGGACGATCGTCTGTTTCGGAGCCTAGAATTCATGTCTCTAGGGCACGAGTACGACATGGTACTCCTCTCACCCAGAGCGCCATCAACCGACGACGACGTCATGCACGCAGCACCGCACGCGGGCGGTGCGGTGCCGCCCGCTCTCGTCAAGCTCGCCAAGCGCGCCCAGCGGCGAGTCCACCCTAACACCGCGCAAAATGCGAGCGCCCGATCCATGCTCCACCGAATCCCATACCCATTGCTAGCATAGAGAGTCCTCAGACGGGACCCGTCCCGGCTTAAGCCTCGGCAGGGAAAAGGGCGGTGGCGCGCAGCGACGCCCCATCATCAAGCTCTGTCCCGCCTCCTCCCGAGGAGCTAGCTCTGGTGGAGCTGAGCCTGGTGATGGCGCCATCCCCGTACCCTTTCGGGCTGACCAATGTCGCCGCCTCCTACGCCACCGCCCTCGTCCCCATTCATCAACGTCATGCCCATAACCCCATAGTCACAACTCCAATCCACCCCCACTCTGACTCCTCGGAGGAGGACGAGGCGTGGGTTGGAGCAGACTTCTCCGGGATTCGCGACCCTGAGGCGATGCGCCGCTTCATGATCGCGAGCGATAACTGCTTCGGCTACTCCGATTTCGACGGCGATGACGCTTATGACCCGACTCGTGAGTGTTTCCACATCGGACTCGGAATGCCGAGCATGGGCAACGATGGAGGAAGGGCAGCCAACGCCACACCACCACGCACGGGGTCCCCGCCAGCGGCGGCAGGTGTCCCCACCCCCAAGCAACTTCGACGCATAGACCTAGAGCAGCTCCGTGAGCTTCAAACCAAGGTCGAGCAAGATCGACTCCTCCTGCAGCAGCTCCAAGCCACCCTCGAGCAAGAGCGGCGAGGGCGCGGCGATGGCGGACGCGGCGGTACCGGGGCTCGCGGCGTCAACCACCGCGTGCGAACGATGATGAGGGGGCGAGCAACCCCGTCTTCAATCGCGGCTGCGAGAATGTCGGCTGCGGCGGCGATATCTTTGGTCCGAAGCGATGCCCGAGCCCTCTAACACGGAGGGGCGATGGGTCCACGGCGAACTCCGGGGCCTTCTCAAGACTGCCACGGTGCGGCGAAAGTCGAAAGCTCCACGTCTCGACGACGGGGACACCTCGAAATGTTCCCTCGGTGCACGACCCTCCTCGGGGCCCCCTCGGTGCACGACCGCCTCGGGGCCCCCTCGGTGCCACGACCGCCTCGACGACCAATGCGAGGCGCAAAAACGGCCACCACGCGTGGGCAGCGACGGCAGCACACCACGACCACGATGGGGCCGCCCGGGCTACCAATTGCACCGAGGCGGTCGCTATGATGATGGGGAGGACCGCGATCCTTCTCCCGGCCGCTTTGGCCCTAGAGTTTTTAGTAAGGCCATCCGTGGCGCCCGCTTCCGGCCCGGTTTTGTCGACCAAATGATCTCTCAAAGTACAATGGCGAGACCAACCCCGAGCTATGGTTGGCCGACTACCGTCTGCTTTGTCGGCTAGGCGGTGTGGACGATGACCCGCTCATCATCCGCAACCTCCCCTATTTCTGTCGAGACTCAACATGAGCTTCGCTCGAACACCTTCCCCCTATGCAAATCCATGGCTGGTGCAACTTGGTAAAGGTCTTCGTCGAGAATTTCTAGGGCACCTACGCGCGCCCCGGGAACTCCTGGGACCTCAAGAGTTGCCGCCAGGGTTTGACGAAGTCTCCGAGACTTCATCCGACGCTTTCTCAAGCAATGCATCGAGTTGCCCAGCGTCGGCGACTCGAAAATCGTCCCAGCATTCCTCTCCGCACCACCTGAGAGACTGGTCCGAGAATTAGGCCGGAGCGTACCGACCATGGTGTCCGCACTCCTCGACATCGCCACCAGCTTCGCCTCTGGCGAAGAGGCCGTCGGGGCCATCTTCCCCAACAACGACTCCAAGGGGAAGAGGCGGGATGAGACCCCCGGGGCCTCGATGTCTCGCCCCCCCCAGAAAAAGAAGAAGGGACGCCAGGGGAAACAGGAGGTTCTTGAGGTCGGGCTCGTCGCGGCCGTGGACCGCAAGAATCCCCGAGGCCCAGGGCTCTTCGACAACATGCTTAAAAGACCCTACCCATACCATCAGGGCCCGGTAAAGCACACCCTCAAGGAGTGCACCATGCTCCAGCGATACTACGCCAAGCTCGGGCTCCCCAACGACGATGCCAAGAAGAGGGGCCAGGACGATGGAGACAACGACAAGGACGACGGGTTCCTCGAGGTACACAATGCCTTCATGATCTTCGGTGGGCCCTCGACGTGCCTCACGGCGCGACAGCGAAAA